TCCAACATAGAGATTAATCAAAAGAGCCAGAGAGAAGCTCTTGTTGGGACTGTGCTTGTTTCTTCTGTACACATTTAATAACAAATATGACATTCTTCATTCTTCCACAGGCCAGAAGGAGCCCAGGTCCCTTTACAAGGCGGCCTCCCTGCCAACATGCCCCCCCACCCCATGTACATGCCCATGCAGATGCTGTGGTGGCAGCAGATGTACGCACGCCACTACTACATGCAATAGTAAGTTAATACTATAGTAAGAAATGTGTCTCTAGAGGGTCAAGGCTACTAATTACAGCTCTTTGGAAAGGTTTAATATGAGTTTTAAGAATGATTTAGTTGTATTATGACAGCATATTAATAAAATAGGAATAGATTGAAAAACTGTAAAACAAAATGTAATTCTTTGATTTCCATTCTACCTCTGTGGTTTAAAGTGAAGAACTTGACATTGAAATCAAACCCAACCCTGTTCTGTCTGTTTCCTCCCTCTCTTCACCTCCTCTTACCAGTCAAGCAGCAGTAGCTGCCTCTCAGCCTCCCAGCCCCTCCCCTCCTTCCTCCCCCTCTTCCTCGCCCCATCAACCAGCACAGCCCAACGAAGCCGTGCAGCCCCCGCTGGGGCCCAACCCGGACCCCAACCCCCTACCAGAGAACCAGCCGGCCAACCCCAACATCCAGATGAACGCGCAGGGCGGGGCCGTGTTAAACGATGACGAGCTGAACCGCGATTGGCTGGACTGGTTGTACACGGTGTCTCGCGCCGGCGTCCTGCTCAGCATCGTTTACTTCTACTCCTCCTTTAGCCGCTTCGTCATGGTGGTCGGCGCCATGCTGCTTGTCTACCTGTAAGTCAGTGCTCCACTACATCAGGGTTTTATTTCCAATGCAGTTTACTCAATGTGTGTTCATGGCCAACGTCAGTTTTCACCGTTCTGTGTGTTTATCTATTCTAAAACTAAATGTCTGTGCTTTTTCCTCCCAGGCATCAGGCTGGTTGGTTTCCCTTCAGACCGGATCAGCAGAACCTCGGAGGAGGAGAACAGGCCAGGGCTCCTCAGGAGGAAGCGGAGAGACACCAGGACATACAGGAAATGGTGAGCAGAATGTGTCTCAGCCTCGTTGCCTCGCTCCATGTCGGCGACCTGTGGGCAACAATGAATGTGAATACTCACATTCATTGTGCAGGAGCTGCCCGTACTCTCTGACACTGTAGTGGGACCAATCTGTGCCAGCAGCACATGGGAAGGCCACTGTAATAACAGTTCCATAATTGTTGGAGGTTTGCAGCTGCACACACGTTTCTGGAGGCTGGTGCAAGAACCATGAACAGACCTTACTTGTCTGTGTAACTTGAAGGCGGACAGCAGTTAAATCAGGTTTTTGTTTTTCCAAGTCAAGACTTCTGAGTTTGACAAACGACTAGATGAAGTTTGTCTGCTTGAACACTTATTTATTTTCCTGCATCAGTCCCTACTGTCTGTTTTCTCCTTCTGTGACTCTGCCATCTAGTTTTGTAGCTGCTCTAAACTCAAAACTCAAAAGTTTGTTACACACATGCCATCCAAAGCAAATCTGGTTTACAACTGGTTCTTAAAATGTTCATTATAATACCATAGAAACTGTTAATGTAACAGTACATAAATCAGACCTTTGTGAGAGAGTTGCGGATTCAGCACTCGGGTTGTGTGTGGTGGTGTACACTGAAAGCAGAACTGTGGAAAAAAACTTGGTCTTTAATTGTTACCTCACACGCAAACAGTTGAAGCACCCAGAAGATTTCAAAAAGTGACAACAGTCAAAGGTTAGAGCTTATGAAGAACTCTAACTCTAGAAATCCTTTTGACCCCTCAGTGTTTATGGGTCAGGCAGGCGCATTTGTTCAATATCAAACAGTGTTATGAAGTTGTGGGACAAAATTGGATCTGCACCAAAAATGACTAATCTTTTCTTCAGGACTTGGCTGAAATTTCTAATTGTGGAGATTTTTGTTTGCATACAGCATCGTGAATGTCTCCACTATTGTCTCTCTCTAACCATCCACCGTCTTCTCTCATCGCAGGAACGTCTGATGGATGAAGGGCTAGAGGACGACGACAGCGGTGAGGAAGGAGGTGGAGGCCCTGAGGACCAGGCCCCGGCGGCGGCTGCTCTCCCTGAGCCAAGCTTCCTTACCACCGCGTGGTCCTTCATCAGCACCTTCTTTACCTCGCTCATCCCAGAGGGACGGCCCCAACCGGCCAACTAGGCAGACCCTATTTCTCTGCCCTACCTCTCAAATACCCCTCCTTCCTCCTGCCAGCAGGTACCGCTCTACAGAAGTATCACAGTTCATCTTTACTGTCCTAAATACCCCAGCCAGTCGACTATAAACCCCCTACATGCTGCCAACAAACGGACCGATATTTAAAACCGTCTCTCTGAAGTTTAAGAGCAGATGCAGTGCGTGTCTCTGCAGGCGGGCAGGAGAATAAACGGACATTTAGAAAGTAAATATCACGCTGTGTTAACGGAGTAAATGCTTCAGCAGTGAATTATTTTTCTTCTTTCATCGATCGTGAATTCATTGAGATGGTCAGAGACCCTGGAGGGAGCTGTCTTCCATTTTAAACAGTGATAAGGTCATGCTTTTAAAACTTTTCAATGAGGGATGTGACAGAACACAAAAAAAATAATCAGGAATCTCCCTAAAACAACAGGGAGACTGTGTCCTTAAGAAACCATGAAATAAACCACATCCCTAAAGACATTTTCATGTATGCGCACGATGTGCATAGTGACATTGCAGCTACTGAAGCACATTGTTTTCCCACTTTGTGTATTTGAACATTATCTATTTACACATGTAAGTATATGCATCTTTAATTCCTGAATATATGCTTTTTTTGAATAAAAATCTTGCTGCGGTTGGACTCTGCTGTGGTTTACTTCCTGTTATTTATCCTGTAGTTCCTCACATGTCCTGCAGGTGGCGGTATTCACACACAGATGTTAAAGTAGCTTAGTGTTGAGAAGTATTTTAACTTCCTTGTATAGGACTGTATTCATTCAGCAATTGTTTGCACACTTCAGAGATATTTTTTTAGTATTTTTGGAGTTTACTCCTGTTTGTACATAAACCCCAAATTATCTGTATCATTTTCTTATTTCCTATAATTATAATATGTATGATAAAAATTTATTTGTAGAGTGATTTTAAAAAAGCAGAATGCTTCACATAAAGTTATAACTGGAGCAAATAAAACAAATGAAATGTGTAAGAAAAAGCAAACTATTCAAATAAATGAAGGTTAATTAACAACTAATGAAAATAAAAGTAACATCAGGATGAGCTGCCTGATACAGGTGTTTTTAAGAAGAGCTGTAAAAGATGATTGCTCTAACTTCTATCATTATATGTAATTATGGATTACACCATTTACTCTGCTGAGCTTTGTTCTTCCTGTGATGCTAGTAGAGCTCCCAAAGCTTTCAGACAGCAAATGTGTCTGAATTACAGTAATGTGTGTGAAACTACGTGCAAAACACTATATGAACATATAAATATGGCTTTTTAGGGTCAAAACTGTTATTAATTCAGATTTCAGAGCATGTATTTCAAGTTAGTCACGTTTTACTTTAGTTTATAACCAAATACCTGCAAAACTAACGCCATTCCCATCAGCCAGTGCTGAATATGTCATGTTCTGTACCCCATGTTCAGTGCTAATTAGCAAATGTGAACATGTTAACACCTTAAGATGGTGAACATGGTAAATAAACCTGCAAGACGTATTATCATGCTGACATTAAGCACTGCTACGCCTAAGTTCAGTTCACATGGTTGTAGTTTTTTTTTTTATAAAGTACTGTGCAACTGTACTGCACCAGTGGCACCAATGCTAGGCTGAGTGCGTTGCTCAAGGGCAGCTCGGGGGTCGATAGGGAGGGAGGGATGTTTGATTGACTTCACCTGCTGAGAACTGTTGTGTTTGTATCTGTAGTGACCTTCAGCCCAACCTAGGCTCCACATTTTGCACAGATTTTATGAAGTAGTTGTAACACCAAACTGTCCTTGAGTTTTTAAAGAACCTAACGCCGCCGCTCCCACACTATCCTCACAGATAGAGAGGTGAGCAGGGAAGCAGCTCAGACAGCGATGCACTTCAGAGAGTCCTCCAAAACCCCCTAATCAAATGACCATGGATTTTTGTGTAGTTGGTCGTAGAAGGCCCAATTAATTATGCATGACAGCGGCTTGACGGCCATTTGATTTCGTTACGCGCGCTCCCTCCGAGCCGCCGATCCAATCAGGTTAGCATCCCCCTCCTCCTCTCCCTCCCTCCCCGGGGGTTAGACTCCCCTTATCGGAGGGAGAGATTTCTTTAAGAGGGTGTTTGGGGTCTTGTAGGACATTTCATCATCATAATAAGTCCTTGTAATGCAGCCGGCTCTCTCCCGTTTCCCTGCTATCAGGCCTCGTTGTCTTTGGAGAGGCGAGCAGTTGGGCTGGACACATGCCATGGAGATGGACTGAGTTTATTAGGTAAACAGAGAGAAGATGGGGATGAGAGATAAGAGTGTGTGACACCTGTAAGGCCGGGATGGTGATGCACCGTAGCACCTGCTTTCAGTAAATGTACCCTGACTGAACATGTGCAGGAGAAGTTTCTGTTTGGACTAGAACCTGATCGATACATCGGTGGGATGATATTTGTGCACATCACAGATATATTGGTATTGATCATGTATGCCAGTGGGTTGGGACACCCACTAGGGGGCCGCCAGAGCTTCACAGGGGGGTTGCAAGGCCTTCTTGATTTTAAGAGGTGCAAGGAAACTTAATAAATATGCACAGTAGGTCTTTATCTTTAGCAATTTGTTGATTTATGTAAAGAAAATGAAATTAAATGGCTATTTTAAAAGTTTTGAAACCATAATGAAATGAAATTATGTAATTAAAGGAGCTCCATTCAAACCTTAAATGATGGAAATCCATGTAGAAAACATGATGGACATATTTGTTACAGTCTCATTGCTACACACAAATCTGATTACTTTGTCTGCCGCCATCTTTCGGCACCGACAAACCAACTTTTCCACCTCAGCCAAGCATAATAAATTTGTTTTTATTTTCTGTTTTTTCCACTTTGATAGGTAAAATGAAAATGTGCATAAAACCAGGTGAATGGAAACACACTTGTGTTTTCATCACATAGTTTGTCCACCAGAGACAATTATGAAGTTATAGTTTCAGTAATTTTTCAAGCAAAAACACCAAATATTTCTCCATCCCAGCTTTTCTTCATAATATGGTAAGGTAAAACGAATATCTTTGGGTTTTGGACTGATAAAACAGAGACATTTGAGAGACTAAACAAGTAATCAGTTCATTGAGAAAAGTAGTAGTTGAAAAGTTTATTTTTCAGCTGTAATATTTCCAACTCTTAATCGCAATTCTTTAATGACACAGTTGAAGAGATTCTTTTAAAAAGATTTGTCATGAGATGAGTTTTGGACAATATATCATTACAAAGGTGTAAGTTTGGTTTCGGAAAGGAATTTAAAGTTAAAGGTTCTTCAACCTAATTTTTTTTAACCCTACAGAAGAGGTAGAAGTACTTTCTTTCAGCCTTAAGTACCATGTGTAGTCTTTCTCTCAGTCCGCATATGGCCACAACAACCTCAACCAACCTGTATGATCAGGATATCAACTCCTCTCCTCTCTTCTGGATGTTGGCAGCTGGACAGTCAGAGGACACTTTAGGGGCAAAAGTAGGATTTTGAAAAGTGAGTTGGACATTTCCCCCCACAAGTGGAAATTAGGCTTTTCTATTGTTATTTGAGAGTTAAAAAAAATCATATATTGGTATTTGTATCAGCCTCAAAAATCCAGTATGAGTATGTATGGCTGTATTATAGACTCAGTCATGTGTCAGAGGCAATATTATATAATATGGTAAGTGCATTTCTTGGCTGTGTCTGACACTGAAAGGAAAAATACTCCTTGCATCTTCTGGCCCAGCGTAATCCTCCTACTCACTACTGTCAAAATCACATACAAGATATGTTGTGATTAACGTGATTATCTTGTGATTCAATTGATTCCCAAACGTAACTGCATCCATATCAAAACAACCCAGCACTTCTGCATCAGCTTATAGAGTTCAAATGTGACATTTCCCTCAGAGTCGTAGTGCGTAACTGAGTTTATCAAGCAAAACTTTATTTGTAGAGCACATTTCATTCCAGGTGGAAGCCACAAAAACTTTGTGATAGTGTCACATAACACATTAGACATGAGTGAACAGACACACAAATAATACATATGACCCAACAACCCTTAGGGAAAGTAAAAAATAAATGAATAAATAAAAATTAAGACATGCTGAGCTGATTTTAATAATCTGCAATACCACAGTGCAGAAAATTCCTTAAGTTAATAATATTTATTTAAAATCTCTCCACTCTCTGAGACTGAGAGTGGATATTGGACTTATTGCTGGCTATAGACGGTGATAATATGTTGATGTTGTGAGAAAAGTAAAGTAAAAGTACTATTTATGAAAAATGCCCTCTTTCCGAGTATTGTAGTGTTCTATATATATTATTGGATTATTACTAGCGGTACATTAATAGTAAAGCAGCAGTTTAATGTTTCAGCTGGTCATGGTGGAGCTTGTTTCTTCCACTTTGTAATGACTATATACTACAAATATGAGCCACTGACAGGCTGATACTGTGAGATCCATCTGTTCTTCCAGTAAATGCAGTTTGCAGACAATCAGAAGTTCACATTTATTCTGTTGCTGTTCTCTACAGCTCACCATGTGCTGTTCCAGTATTGTCCATTCTTCTCTTCTCATGAAATGAAACCGAAATTTTCCACAAAAAGAATAAACAACTTAGTTGTCATTATTTTGTTTAGCTCTTTCCTGTTTTGTTCTGCAGTTCTCCTCTTGTGTCTTGTTTTACTTCACTTCCTGTCTTTGTCTGTTGTCCCTCCTGTTTTGATTGTAAACTCCCCTGGTTATTTTTACCTGTGCCTTGTTGTCCTCCCACTCACCTGTGTATTTAGTGAGTTTCTTTGTAGCACTGATAGTTCGCCCTTGTTAAAGCTTTCAGCCTGTTCTCTCAGGTTTCCTCAGTTTCTGGACTTTCTTCTCCATTATTAGGATTTTGCCTGCTTATTTTGATTTGATTGTCTTCCTTCATGGACATGTAAGTTTGTCTCAACATGTTTTTGCAAATAAATCATCTGAACTGCTTCTGCCCGTCTGCATTTGGGTTGTGTTTCTGTTCCATAACTCAGCTTCTGCGACATTAACAAACTCTGCAGTACAGCAGGAGCCACAAGCTGAAACTGTGTCTCACACACACAACAGCAAACACCTGAAGCTGACTGCATTGATCTCCTTAAGTACATTTGCATCAATTATCCATCTGGTGGTTGGAGACAAGTTAAAACTGAATGACCTTTTCATAAAAACTTTACTATACAGTATGTGTTGTAAAATATTTACAACTTTGTAGTTGCCATTAAGTTGAGTTGTACTTTACAGATGTCTTTGTGGTACTAGTCTATTCCTCTCATCTCTTTCTTGTCTGCTAACAAACAGCAACATGTTTGCTGTGGGTGTCCCAAACAGATGCACTGGGACGTATTTAGGTTGAAAGTTGGGAATACCCACTCGACCTCTGACTTGCAATGTACTGCAGCATCAGATAAACGTCATATAAAGTAAAATGTTCAAGATTTCCTTCCGTGGTGGATGTATAAAGTAGCAGAAAATGGAAATATTCAAGTAAATCTTCACTTTCCCCCACTGATTTTGGGTTATCTCCTAATGGCATTTACTAAAAAGTAGTACACAAAGTACACAAAAAAAGTACTGATTCAACTTCTTTACTTAAGTAAAAGTGCAAAAGTACA